ATTAGAGTTCCTTGAGCGTCTCTTCGCCTGAACAATTCCTCCTTTTCCGCTTCTGTTACCGGCAGCAGTAAGATCGCTTGCAATATCAACGTAGATGCCTCAACTCCTAAGCCATACTAGACAGTTAAACTTATTATCAGTCAATACTACACTCTTGAACCGTCCTTTCAAAGGCTACAAGAACGAATGCTTTGTTTCTCGTGAAAGTACATAATCAATGAATGACAATGGACAGGGTCCCGTCTCGCGAGTACAAGAGCCAATCTTTCAAGTCTTCATTCTTTTCAAATGGTACTGGCATATGCCAGCGAGTTGAAGTCGCCATCAGCTTGCTTGTAAGCAGTCCTTGAAAGAGGGGAACACTGGCAGCTCTGTCAGGGACCACTGGCAGCTCTGTCAACTCAGAGTCATCGACGGCGAATAACGGAGGCCGTTTTGACTTTTTCAGTGGCCAGTAAAGTATTCTCTACTACCGTTTTCTTGAAATGATAAACACCATTCATTTTGCTAACAGCAGACGCTCGCCAGAAGGACCCTCCCATGTCCGGAAGCAATTTAAAGGCGTCACTGGTTCACTAGCATGTCTCGGTACTGGGCATCAGAACAAATGAATGAATAAGTAGTGCGAGTTTTTCAAAAGTTAGCAATAAAATGCTGCGCGGGGATTACCTGGTAATAGAAATAGCGCTGGATGAAGCATTCAGCTGCGCATTCATTATATCCGCATCATCGGTTATGAAAAATGAGCCTTCAACATCACGGATTTTTAACTCTACTTGTTGCTGGCTATTCAGTGCAATCTGAAATAACTGAGCTAAAGAAAAAATTACATAGAAAAATAAACCCAGGCTGGAACGCACCAGGCAGGCCGGTGCGATCATGCGTTTTTGCACTTTCGTGCCGTAGCAAGACCGCAAGGAATCGCAGTAGCTAGCCCAGTGGCATACCGGCCCTCGAAGTTCGGGAAGTTAATTGTGCAGCTATGTGGCCTGTCAGTTGTAGATGTAGACTTCAGTGACCCGACAAAGTTGTTGGCCGCGAAAAAGGCCTTACTAGAAGAGTTAAATTCGAAATCTTTTAGTTGCACATGAGCAGGAAACATTCCCTTAAAATTAAAGCCTTCCAGCTTTCTCTTTCCCGAGTTGGCAATTCTTCCGTGAGAATTTTTACGCGCCCTTTCGTGAGTTCCGGACGGTTTTAAGGAGCTGAATTTGAAATCTTTTGGTCGTACATGAATGAGGGGCAGTCCCCTACAGTTCCAGCTTTTTAGCTTTTCTCATTCCTGGGTTAATGATTTTCCTGCCAAAATTTTCACTTGCCTGTACTTGGGCCCCGGACGCTTCTAAACACCTGATTTTGGTCGTACATGAGTAGAGAACATTCCCCTAAAGTTTCAGCCTTCTAGCTTTTCTCGTTCCCGGGTTACTGATTTCCCTGCCAAAACTTCCACGTCTCGTACTCGAGCCCCGGGCAGTCCTAGATAGATGAATATTAAATCTTTCAGTCATGCATGGGCACGGAACATTATCCTAAAATTTCAGCTTTCTAGATCTCCTCTTTCCCGAGTTAGCACTTTTCCCGCCAAGGTTTTCACATGCCCGTACGTGAGCCCCGGGCAGTCCTGAATTTGAAATCTTTTTGTCATACATGGGTAGGGAATATTCCCCTAAAGTCACAGCCTTCTAGTTTTTCTCATTCCCGAGTTATGAATTTTCCCGCCATAATTTTCACATGCTTGTACGTAAGCCCCGGGCAACCCTAGCAGCTGAATTTGAAATTTTCTTGTCATATACGGGTAGAGAACATTCCCTAAAGGTTTCAGCTTTCCAGCTTTTCTCGTTTCCGAGTTAGCAATTTTCCCGCCAAAACTTTCACGTGCTCGTACGCGGGACCCAAACGTGCGTGAGAGTTGAGACCGCGGTCCTGGGATGGCACTTGGCTTGGAACACACCAGCAAAATTTTAGCTTCAAAGCTTGCGTGGTTAGCGAGTTAAAATACCCGGACAGACGAACACACATACACACACACACTGACAGGGTCGTTGTAAATACGCTTTTTGCTTCCTGTTGCAGCTGTACGGCAAAAATGCATAAAAACTGATGCGGGCACTATGTAAGCACAGCTGGGAGAATATGTTGTTCATTTATGCAGTAAAACTCACAAATTCGGGTGCCTCGATTATTATCTCTTCAACGTCCGTAACTGAAACTGTTGCTGAGAAACTGTTGCCAATGCACAGATCCGTAAATTCAAGCGTCGTTTTGCCATTGGTCACCGGGCTGATCTTCAATTACAATTTTTATAATACGAGTTATTTGAATGACAAAAAAACCTTTCGAAATAATACATATCAAAAAAAATTAAATCAATTTGAAGACCTTTTTTGGTTAACGAATAGCGGTACTGATGGGCTTGAAGTAAAAGAAATCAATGATTCTCTCTGAAGTCATGCCGGTAATGGAAAACAGCCTATCCTTCACGACTAATCGGCGTTTTTGATGAGAGCCTGGTCCTGATGCAACTCATGGGCCAAAAACGCCTTGAACTTGCATCTAAGGTTATCAAAATTCTTACGAGCGAGTAGGTCTTGTTGGCAAAGAGCTAGGTCCGAGTGCTTTCTGCTCATACAACCAAATGCGTGAAGAGCCAATGCCCATCGATTCCCAATGTAAAACTGCTAAGATAGTATGACAAAATAAGTAAAACCATGCCGTACCAAATATCTGATAAACGGCCTTTGCCTAAATCGTGTTTCCTGGTCAAAATGCCGTTTCCTCTCCCTCTCCCTCCCCCCCCCCCCCCCCCCCCCCCCCCCCCTC